CCTTGCGTGGATGAGGCACTGTAGTCCCGCACTGTGAAATGGGCACTAAGATATCCCTGTTTGTACAAGGATCCCTTTCCTATATAAGCCTAAATATATGAGAAAAAGAAATGGGAATTAATGCTCATACAGTTAATTTGGTTCTTTTTACATCGGGATTACTTTTTCTTGAAAAACCATGTTTCCATTTTTGTGGTGCAAAATATTCATACAGTGTTCAATAATACCATTATAGGGTAAAATTATGGGAGTTTGACAGTCTTGGTTTAGAGGACTGACTGGTATGTTTGTGAACTTCAGGTAAATAGCTTCATATAGAAACAAGGAAACAGTTCTGAAACCTTGCAAGTAAAAATAAAAAATAATAAAATCAGTAACCACACTCGCCCTCCCTTCCCTGCCAACTACAAAACAAACCTCCCAAACCCAAGGACGTGAACGGAAATGCTACTTTTGAGCACTCTCTTTTGTGGAAAATAACCTGGACAGCAGCATGCCACTAACTTTTGTCACTTCTTGTGACAAAGTCAAGCTGTTGAAATGTGTAGATTTCTTTCCTAGATTACATAAATTTGGCTACTTTAAACTCCACGTAAATGTAAACTCTTGGATTTCAGAAAGCACATGACCAAAGCAATCACCAGGCTAAGTGTCAGTTACAAATTACAATTGCAATGATGCTGTCTCCCTTCTACATAGTCACTTGTGCAGTCTGTTCACAACAAAATACAGGATAAAAAGGCAGAGCATGTCTTTTGGTTGAATATCTCTTAAAAGTTTGCATGTGTAAAGTCATGAAGAGTGATGGATAAAGGCATGTGGATATTACTGATGCTTGTTGAGCAGCAAAGCTAACCTCGGGTTATGTACCAAACTAGAGGAATAAACAGAAGCTTTCAAAGCTGATGTGCCTTGCAGGTTTCAGGAGTGAATTAAGGGGAATTTTCAGGTCGGTTAACAGACATCTCATTTATAGCACCAGTTCAGCTTTTCCATCTTCATTAATGTAGGAACCATACCTGACCCTTAAAATGCCAGACTGTAGGATGCTGTCTCTTTTTCTAAAGTTTCCCACCTTTACAGCAGAGCATCAGAAAAAGAGCCTCACCCTTTTTTTAGTGTAAAATGCTGCCTTGGCATAAACTCATCTTCATCCACAAGATGCTTTCTCTGCTTTATGCTCCTTCTGGGTGAAACAGATAGCTGGTGATGGCAGTATCCTGGGATACTACATTGTGGACTAACAGTAATTGGTGAGGGAACAGAATGATGTGAAAATAGCAAGTGACCAGAAGTCAGTCTTTCATTTTAAATCGTTTTGGAAAGGAGAAAGGGAGGACCAATAGTCTAGAGTGGATTTGATTCAGCTTGTAGATTTTCTTCTCTGTTACGGATGGCAGCTTTGTACAGTATTTTATGGCACAGCAGACTGTCTCATGAGGTTGCTGTAATTTCAGCAGAAATTCTTCTATCTGTGTGATGTGGTTTTTACTTTGTCTATAAATATAATAGCAAGAACTTCAGCTACATTGTGGCCAGATTTGAAACAGCTCATCTTTTTTCAATTAGTTTATTCTTTTTATTGCCATGATTATTCATTTTCTCTTAAGTGGAAAAAAGCTACATTATTTTTAGGGAGTGTCCTTTACTTCTTGAATTCTTGCTGTATGTCACTCCCTTTTGATTTTTCTCTCACTTTGTCCAAAACCACTGTATTTTTTTTTTTTAATCTTTCTGATCTTAGTAGGAAGTACCAAATTTTGGGTTAAAAACGTCCACTAATACTTTGTTTCAGTTCTTACCATTATATATCTGTATGAGGATGTTATTGTTTGGTGCTTATGATATTTATCAATCTGATCTGTGGATATGAAAGATGTGCTAGTTTTAGCTTTTTAAGAAATGACCCTTATTGCATGAATGTGATTCAGTTGTTAATTGCATTAAAAAGGTTTGATCTAAACAGGGAAAATGGAATTGCAGTTCTTCAGTTCTGAATTGTTGACTTCTTTGCAAGGACAAATTTAATATTCTTTGTAAAGACTGCAACTAAATAAAACGTCAGGTAATGATGACAAAGTTTCTAATGCACTGATGTCTTTGGTTTCCTGGAAGAGTCGTGACAAAGGCACCAGCAGTCTAATTTCAGCAGTATTTCATACTTGGCGGTATCTCAAACTTCTTACAAAAAGCCTTTGAGTTGATTCGTACCATGGAGATAAGCGATAATGTCTGTCATGCTGTGGATGGGTCAGGCTGTCTGTCTTCTACTGTTCTCCTCTGACAAGGTAATTAAGATGATGGATTAAGGAAGTCAGAAGTCAACAGAATGAATTAATAAGCACATCTGACCTCATAAATTAGAGTATATTATGTGCCAACCGCTTAGTCTTTAAGTGTGGTACTAAGGAATACAGAATGTCTGAAAAACCGATCTGGGTTATAAGAAGCGAAGAAGTAGAAAGTAAGCACATCTCTGTTCTGATGGTTAGTTCCCTTAGAATTAAAACTTACTTAATTTTGAGTATGACTCAACTCTGCAGCGGTTAATTTTGCTATACTGTTAAATTTGCTGTGTTTTTTTATGTTAAACTTTGAAAACAAAGTGGTTTTTTTGTTGATGAAACACTGAAGTCTTCGTGTACACAGCTCAACCTTACTCATATTCAAAGCAGTTTAGGTTCTTTGATTCATACTGTGAGAAACTTTCTCCTCCTTTCAAATAACTTCTGTGGCTCTTCTCTGTACCCTGTCCAATTTTTCAACACACTTTTAAAAATGTGGATACTGGAGCAGGACGCAGCGTTACAATGTTCCTTGCACAGGTAAGATTACAACCTTACACCTGTCAGGTCCGTATGTCCAAAGGAACGTGTAAGTACTTTTTGTCCCTTTTTTTTGGCCATGGCATCACCTCTTGAGGTACTTACGTGTCATAATTACTGAGTTCTTCCAACTTTTTTCTTCCAGGATTTTGTCTCCATTCTGTTGGTCTTACCTGTAGGGGACAGATGTACCCTGGCAGTAAAATACTCAATTTGACATCGGGCTAAACTAATTTTTAATTATTTTTGTTTTAATTATTCAAGAGTGTAGCTGCCCTCTCCTCAGTATTTAGTTTCAACATTCGTGGTGACGTGCATGTAGAGACTTGATGAAAATGCTGAATCCTCTTGAGCCTGGTGTCTCTTGTCACGTATAATGAGACTTCCCCTCTAGTGAGGAAAGGTTTGTGCAGGTGAGAACCACAGCTCTTGTTGGCAACCCCAGAGGCACAGTTAGAGCTCCTGAACTTGAAGTTGAATAGGATACTTGGAAAAATTGTAAAATGCCATTTATTTTCTGATATCTCTATTTCTTATCTCTGCAAAACAAAACTACAGTAACTTTCATTATTTTTTTTTTATTTTTTTTTATGCTATGAACACCAGGTAATATCTATCTTGGTAAGCTTGAAGAGAGAGAAAAAACTTCTCTAATTATACACTGGCAGGTATAGAGATGGTAGGAGTTTGAGACCCACAATTTGCTTTTGTTCCCTTACTATTTGGGAAGACAGTTTGGTTATTACCGGTGTCATGAAATCTGAACACATTTGTAGAAATAGCAATAAGCAATGGAAGTCTCTCAGATTTCTTGGAAAGGTCCCCCTTTTACATGAGGATTAGGCCACGGTGGTACAACATACAGCTTATTGCCTGGTACACTTAGTTGTGCTAACCAGCTGTCCCTGGGTCAGTACCTTCAAAATAGATAGCTATCCTTGTAAATAACACAGCACCAGAAGCTCAGTTTTTTGTAATTACTTTCTAAAGCATTCTCCAGTCATGGCACAGAAAACAGATGTTTTGGGGGTGGTTGGATGACAATGGTCTTTCAAATTCTTTGTGCTGTGTAGCTGGAACACAGCTGTGGGATTCATACCCAGGGAATAAGTGTAGGTTTGTACCTTCAATCTTCTGTGACTAACTTCTTACAGCACTTTACAGGATGCACTTTGGGGAAAAATAAAATAGAACAAAAAAAAAAACCCAAATTCTGCTTGTCGTAAGTGGAGGAGCAGAAACAGGAAGTGAGCCTGGCTTGGATGTGAAAGAAGAGAATCAAGTAGAATAGATGTATCCTTGAATACTAATCAGGGGGATGATGGGATTTTGTTTTTGATGGTGGGAGTTGGCATCTCCAGTGGGTTTTTGTTGTGGGTTTCTTTAACTCAAAACTTCAAGTTGCACAGTGGACATTCAAAATTGTTACTTATGTTCCAATGACATGTTAATGATGCTGCTTTATGTAAACTACAGTAACATAATCATCAAAGACACCGACATGAGCAGTGTATGTGTAACTGAATTGGATGTTGCTTGTCGTTTTTCTGTGTGTATGGAGCAAAGGATTTTCCCTCAACATAGGTGCCATGGGGTGTTGCTATGCTTCTGTTATAAAATGTCAAAACATTAATCTTAAGCAATAAATACATAAAAATCTGTGTATTCTCAGAGGGCAGCTGTTACTTATAGAAGTGGTGTAGGATATGCTGTCTTCGAAAGTGAAGGCCTCAAAGAATTGGTAGAAAAATTCCTGACAGTTATCTGGGCAGTGCATGGAGCACTGCTGTGGTAAGAATGAAAACAAAGAGTTCCTTGAGTGCTAAGGTTTGATATTGAGGTTACGTCAGCAACCACTGAGGTGGAACAGGTTTACTCGTTGTTTATGCTGACGGTACTTTTCCCAACAAACCTAGTAGAAATTGAAGTAACTCATCCAGAATCTGCACTGGTGCTTTATGTGTACATGCTATGTGACTGCTGTTCACAGGCTAATGTGTACACATGCTGCATTTCCTGTGTAAAGATCTTTGCCTTTCTTTGTATGAGTGGTAAACTGCATAGAAAGTGGGAAAGTATTCCTATAGTTCTTGTTTTAAACTTCTGTTTCATCACTTCTAATAAAAGCAAGCAAAGAATCTTTGTTTAGTAATGCTAATGAATTTATTTTTTTAGGATCTGGTCAACACTGGACTCAGCACTTTCTTCTTTTTCATTGCCTCTGTAGTACTTGCTGCTTTAAACCATAAAACTGGAGCAGAAATTGCTGCTGTGGTAAGAATTTGAACTTCTTTATATATGACTCATCTTCTGTTAAATCTAAGAATAACTTTTCCTCATGTTCATTGAATACTTCTGTTGCCTTTGACATCACGATTTATTTCTGATTTTGCAGCTGGCTATAAGGTAATTCTGATTTGAAAAGTACTGACATCCTTTGAGTTGTTTGTCTTAAGGCTTGAGGCAAGAACAAACAGAAAAATGACTTGCAGAGATCACTTTATCAGTTAAGCTTGCCTTTTTTCTCTATACCCAGCTTAGATGATACTGCTCTATATTGCAAGCCTACAGAAAAGATAGAGCCACAAATTCACAAGAAATTGGAGCTCCTTACACATAGTTTGGTGAATTCTTCTTGCTCACTACAGACACTTTTGTTCTGTGGAGTGAGTACAGTAGTACTTCAACATTTTAAATCTAGACCAGTAAGTTCAAGCAAATTAATTCTGTGCTTGAGTTGACAACTTTTTTAATTCTATTCCCCCCACCCTTTCAACCCTGGATGCTGAAAATCACACCACAGTTCTGCAGAAGCATATAGGAAAAATTGCTAATTGGCTCCTTCTCCAGACTAATGGTCTGGACTGGTCATCTCTTCTCTTGTAATTTGTTCAGTTTTCACCCTGTGGAATAAATTGCTGGATGAAGAGCTGTATTCTTTGTTTGTATATTTGTTGTATACTGTTGTATATTTTGTGTTTGTAGGCTGAGAGCTTTGTTTTTGAGGGTCATTGATCTTGGTCACTTCTGCAGGTTTTTTTTGCTCATTGAAGAAAAACATCAGTTTTTACAGACCATGGTGATTTGTCAGTGCAAGTAAAGTAGAAAACTAAGCTTCTGAGGAATTTGTTGCAAAACTATTCTTCTTGTTTTCAGAAATTGTATTTGACAATTCTTTCTACTTCTTGTAGATGTTTGGTTTCTTGGCAATGGCAGTGTATGCTGTGAACACATACTTAGCTATTAAAAAGTGGCGAATGAACAGCAGACAACAGAGTAGTCGGCAGACCAGTGATTACATACGTGCTCGGACGGAGTCCAGAGAAGTGGATCATCACCCTGAGATTCAGCGTCTGGATGCATAAAAGCAACATTCAAATGGGACTGCAAAGGGAAAAGATGTGCTTAACTCCCTCATGGAATAAAGGGTTTTGTCTTTATTTAAGCAAGAAAAGGAAGATCACATGGTGGCAAAGAATGCCCAGCCCTGCATATATGCAGGAGTGCGTTGAGTTAGAAGCTGTTGTCATGGAGGCAGTAAATGTTGGTCATTCAAAAGCAAGATCTGTTTAAGATGTCCACATATGTATGCATATATTATATAGCTTATATAATATATAATATATATATGTTTTGAAGTATGTTATTGTTTTGAATTAATTGCACAGTACTTTCCTTCCCTCTCCCAAATGCAAGCTCTGAATATACATGTTCTGCCACTGTTTCTTCACCTATTGTAGACACTAAAACCAGCACTTCATTGGTTGGTTAATATAGGAAAGAAAACCACCAAAAGGAAATCTAATACATGCTAAAAGGAGGTGAACAGCAAATAGCAATAACTTTAACCATGTTATTATGTCCAGCCAGCTCTCTGTATCCATCCTCATGCAGCCCTCACCAGTGCAGTTCAATTCTTGTCTCCTGCAGTTTCACTGTTGGTGCAGTTATATAGCCGAAATGGACAACCATTTCCCATTTTTCTGTTTGGTGGATGTAGTGTTGAGGTAGTTACTCTGCGGATTACTTTGGAATTGCCATATTCGGTTCATGCATGAATTTGTGCAGAGTTAGCAAGGTTCTTGAATGGTCACCATAATGCATCAAATGCAGGTACGTGGTTTTCTGCAAATGTTGGGATACATTCTATTTTTCATTCTGAAATAGGGAGATAAGTCTGGTTGGGAGGTAGGGTGGAGAAAAGGGGGTTTAAGGGCACAGTATAGAAAGAAGAGGTTGTCATCCAATAAATGTGCATTCCAGTTATGGGGATTTTTTTGTTTGTTTTCTTTAATTTTATTTTTTAAGGCTCATTATTTCTGAGGAGCCCGGGGTGAGCAAGAACCAGCAACAAATTATGATAGGCTTACAAACTGTGTTCTAAGGTTTCAATATTGTGATTCATACAATATAAATACTGTCCTTTTTTGGAAGGCTGATTGCTTCTTCTAAAATTTAAACTAACTGTAGTAGGTAAAAATTTTTAAAGGTTTTTTTTGCTGTTGATTTTTTTTTTAAATTGGGTATTTCTTCATTTTTTTTCCTAATATTTCTTTGGAAAATGAGTTAATTGGTGGATCATACAGTTGTATTGGCTTGTTCAGAAATAGTTTTACCTAACTGTGAGTTTCTTCTTAGTTGTACTTCCAGTGAAGAGAATGATATTTTGTCTACTCAAAACTCAAATTGTGCAGGAGTTGGTCAGACAAAATCATGACTTTATTAGAAAGATGTCCCTTGATACTTTTCTGGGCTTTATTGGATTGGTTTTTTATCCATGTAATGCATTATTTGGCATATGCATGCCAGCATGTTACAGGAAGAATATATGTGGTGGAGAAGATGTCTAGAGCTGAATTCTTCCCTGGTATAAGCTGCTGAAATCTCTCAAGATTAGCAGAACTGTGTGTCTTGTCTGCCTGAATCCATCTCATGTTTGGCCTGGACACTTTTTGCGTTGTATTCTTGTGTAGATGTATTAAGTGGTTGAATAGACAAGAACAAATAGCAGTATATGGCAAATAGGTCACTTACAAATGTGAAAACGAGGTTTTACTTAACAGTATGTCAGTAGAAGTGCCTGGGCTTTTTTAATACCAGAGGGAATGGGGAGTAACAGCTGTGAACCTAATGCTGCAGTGTTTGAATCAAGCAACAGAGAATTTGACGTGTGAAAAACCGGTGACAAAACAGATGCCTTCTTGTTTTCATTTTACTGATGTCTGCAGTGCATTTCACCTTAGTGGCTAAGGTAGAGATCAGAATTCAGAAATAATTAGTAATGAGGTTAAAGAAACTTTGCATTTTCTTAAGGACTAATGGTTCACCAGTTACTAGAGACACGTTTTATGTGCTTCTTGAAAGTTAATGCCAAAGGGAACACCAGTGTAAAAAGAAAAAAAGATGGAATAGTAAAAGCCAACCTCTGGTGTTGGGTTTAGAATAGAGACATTTTACTGAGATGTCTCACCAGGATTACTGTGCGTTTCAGGAAGTAAATGACAGCTGCCTGTTCAGTGTGGTATGAAATAACAAAGTTTGTTATTGCCAGCGCAGATGTTACAGTCCTGCTGTTTATCAGCACTCTGCCTAATATTGGCAAAGGTTGCAATGAGAGTTCATGGACAGTGTCAGTGACTTACAAGAACCTTTCAGAACGTTGTCATCCGGCAGATCCATGTTTTTAGCGTGGAATCCTTGTTGAAATCAAGAAACATAAGTGGTGCATAGCAAAGGCTTTTCATTAGGAACATAGCCTGTTGATGGTTAACAAGGACTGAAATGGTGTGTGTGTAAGAGGATACTCTGTTCCCTTCCTGTACTCCCTGTGATGATTCTGGCTTTTTCCAGAGGTGTGGGAAGTCTCAGGCATCTGTAAGCTTATGTATTTGTTGTCTTCCAAATCCTTGCACCTATCCTTGGCAACATCACCCAGCTTTTTCTGATCATGAGATCATGAAAACCTTTGGTTACCTTTTAGCTGGAATGACAAATGCAGAATGCTAGTTACACTTCTAATACAGTGTAGTATAGTGCACCTGAATGACCCTGAGTGCTTTTGCATGTGAAATGTTTCCTTGAGCTGAGAACAAAAGGCTGTTACTTAACACTTACATTGTGACTTGAGTTCAGCACAGCTTTTGGGTAGAATTCGAAGAGAATATTAATTTTAAAAATGCTATCTGTTATACTTTGTAAAACAAAAACAAATGTAAATTTGTAATTTCCTCATTTTTGGGACCAAGGACGATTTTAGTGTTGTACAGTATATACTTTCTAAAAATCTTAAGTTAAGCATTTATTACTCTACGGAGACATTGTTTACTATTTGGATTACAGAGAAGGGAAAATTAAATAGTTATGAAAGACAGCCGAATTTGAAACATTAGGATCATTTATATATATACTCAGTTGATTCTTTCCCCAGACATGATTTTACATGGTGTATTGAAGAGGTAATATTTTGAGACTCTTACACAAACTGCAGTCATCATAAAAAGAAAAAAACAAAACTCTGAAGGAGGAAAATAGATATTATTTTAATTTGAAGCTTGCTTAGAAAAGTGACATTAAATTGCTTCTCCCAGGCAGTTAGTCTGGTAGTTCCTGAGCACATAGAGATAATTCCTTCCAGTCCTTAAGAGTGCTGTTTAGTTCCATAAAGGGACTCAAAACCCACTGTTAATAAAAATCAAACAGTTGAAACTTGCAGGAACAGGATGCTCAAAACTGTAAAGGTTCTGATTTGTCCTCTTTTTTTCAAACTAAGCCCTCAGATACGCAATCTCCATGTATTTGTGTGTGCAGAAGAAACTACAAATTGTGCAACCAATGCACAGACATCAAAGGACTAAACAGTAAGATATGATCGGAGCAGCAGCATAATAGTTATTGTATAGGGTTGTAATAAGATGTTTTCCTCTTTATGCTGTTTGTGATCAGTGTTGTCAGCCTTGGTTCAAATCATAGGATCATGTAATGAAGTGCAAAGTGCCTACAATAGGAGTTTCTAAACCCTGTAATTAAGAACTGATTTGACTGTTTAATTGCTTCGTTGTAAAGTTGATTCCTTCTTTCTCTCTCTGCTTGTTCCTTGCATTTTGTCTATTCATGCCTCATCTATCTTATGTTTTAATATTTAATTTTTTTAAGCCTTCTTCATTGATCTGTGTTTTGTCTGCTTCAACAGAGGGAAGGTAAGAATACTGTGTCCTTTTTTTTTTTATAGTACTGTTTTATGATAGCTTATGATGTTTGGGCTGGATGTGTTGGGGAAAATGTTATTCTTTCCCCTGGGACTTTGGAAGCTAGCTGGCATATGGCATGTGCTTCTGTGTGAGCTTTTCTGTAGGAGCCTCATGTTTAGAGGATTAGAGATCATCTACCTCTTCCTTCTTTGAAAGACAAGGTACAGGCTCCAGAGATTTGATGCCTATGTTTCACTCTGTGCGGTTCATCGTAGTTTTTGTGTTCAGAAGCACGGCATGAGCAATGAGCTGTGCCTTGGAAGCAGTTTCTCATCTTTTGCTTATGTCTCGTACATGTGCACTTAAATCAGTAACGTGGGGTGCTGCTTCATAGGCTTCAGCATGTGTGCATCTCATGATCTAGAATTGTTTCATTGTTGATTCTAGAAAGAAGAGGGGAAAACTGGGGATAGTTTTCAGTCTTCCCCAGATAAACCTTATTTTGACTTGCCTTTCCTGTGAATTATTCTGTACCATATGATGATCACCTTTTCTGATGCATCACACTTACTGCTTCTTAAAAGTGCTGTAGAACATGGCAGGAGATTCAACCTGCTGCAAGCTGCATGTGGACTGTTACGAGTGAATTAACCACTAGTTTTCCATTAACTTCAAGGTCCCTAAACAAATCTACTAATTGTCACCTTTGTTACATTTTGGGGATGTGCAGGTACAGCAAATGCTTACCTAATATGTGATTTTACTAATGTAACTCTTCCCCCCCTCACTTCTTAGTCTTTGTCCTGTATCATTTTCTTGTCTCATGACAACTTTGTAAACATTCCTACTTGTTCTTTTTGTTAGGGGGGAGGCAACCAAACCGACATAAGTAAGAATAATGTTTTGGGGGCATAATAATAAAAATATAAAACAAACCAAAACCAAAAAACCCACAACAATTCAGGTAGTGTAAGAGATAACACGCTCTCCTACTCAGATGAGATACTACACAGCATGTAAATTGAAACATGTACATGAAAATCAGAGCATGAAGAACAGGGTTTATGCTGGAAGCTCTGAATTCAAGCATCTGCAGGTATTTCAGATAGCTAGAAAGGCAGGCACAATCTCATCATAATTTTTGAGATGTGATAAAAAGTTGAGAAGGAGAGAAAAATGCAGTCTTGATTGTTAGTAAGTGCTTTCATAATGATATGTGAACATAAATAATCCCCAGCTGCAGAAGGAGAGATTGCTTCTGCACTTTGTAGAGACAATCGGTAGTAAAAGTAGGAGTTTCTCTGTTCTTAAGTCTGGAGCAGTGCTGGCTGTGTAATACAGGTAGAGAGATTCTACACCAGTGTTGCTAATGGTGGATCTTAAAAGCTGAGGTGTATAGACAAATCAGTGTGATTATCAAATAACTTCTGCTAAGCTGAAGTGTGTTAGTT